TCTGTTTAACTTTTATTTTGGTCCTAAATATAAGACCCCATCTATTTTGTCTCTCATATTTAATATTTTTTCTAAAGTAATCTTGTAATAATGGTAGTTTTAACCAATACACTTGACTAGTAATAATATTTTAGGAAAGACAATATATATTTAATATAAATAACTAACTTAACTAGTTTTCTTAATTAACTCAAATTAGTTAACTAGTTTTATACTCCTCCGGTCCTTAATATAGGACACAATTGTTAAGTTAATTTTGATCCTAAATATAAGACTCATTTCTAATATTTATCAATTTTCTCTAAATTACCCTTATAAATACTCTTTCAATGATAATCAAGTAAAAAAGGAAGAGAAGGTATTAAGAAAGATGACATGGTGTTTTAGAAAAAATGTGTTACATTTCTTATAATTAACTAACTTACCTAACTTCCTTAATCTAATCAAATTAGTTAAATAGGTCTTATATTAAGGACCAGAAGAGTATTAAAGATCGAAGATAGTATTGTAAAATAAATTCACTGTAATTGACTTTGCTTCAAATGAATAGAATTTGTTGAATATATTATTAAAGGGATTGGGCATATATACAACCATAAAAGTCGTAGGGCCGAAACAAGGATATCTCTTTATATTATTGCTCCTTATGTACTCTTAACTCTTCTATACTTTTTTTTTTCCTCAGTGAACTTAACTCTTCTATACTTTGTTGATTTGAGTTTACTTGCATCAGTTGAAATGACTTATAAACAGCTTTTGAATCATATTTTATAAAATATAAGATAAGCTTGTGAAAAAAATTTTGTCTTAACTTACATAAAATATACTTTTAAATACATATAAAAGCATATGCATACAAGCTAATCAGTAGCTACTAGGTAAAGTATTTAAAAAAAATTTAAATAATTGCTTGTAACTTGGAACATGTCTTGTACATTAGAACACTGGCTATATTAGAAAATTCAGTCAGTTGATTATTTTGTTTGGCAAGTTATTCTTAGATGCTCCGAAATAACAATGAAGATCATGGATAGTGCTTTGTAAAGGAGGAGTTTGAGAAGTACTAAAAGAGGAATGAACTAAAGGCTACTTAATCGAAATGATTCAAAGCCAATTCTTCATTAATAAATAATACTTCTTAATTAAAATACAGAAACGTAGAGGAGTACAAGCACAAAATTTAAATTTTACACTTTCAATCCTCACACAAACTAAACCGCAATTTTCCGCTTTCGTTTTCTTGCTAACTTCCGTATCACAATATATCTCACTGGTTACGACCATCCGTCTCCTACTTCCTTGAAGTCATCCTTTTCATTTCCAGACTGCTCTCAAATCAAAGGGGAAAAAAAATTAAAGGAACAAGCAAATAAAATCATAGATTTTGAGCAAAATACAAACACAGAGTATAATTAACATTGTATATACTGCTGATTGAATTGGGTTTGGCATTTTGAATGCATTTATAAAGTAGTAATATCATTTTTTAAGGACAAGATCATACAGCGGAGAATAAAGCGCAGTAATTAAATTTAAGAATGTTAAAGATACACGCGCGCGCTATTACCCACTGTACCTTAAAGCATGTTAATGTTGTATGGGGGTTGCAGAGCAGGGCGTCAGATGGCACCCAGAGTTCCCCGGAACACTTCAGTGAGACACACACACACACACACACACGTATAGTAATGCAAGTACTCCTCCGGTCCTTAATATAAGACCCATTTAACTAATTTGATTAGATTAAGAAAGTTAGGTAAGTTAGTTAATTATAAGAAATATGACATGTTTTTCCTAAAATACCATAATCATCTTTCTTAATACCTTCTCTCCTTCTTCTATTTGACTATGGTTGAGGAAGTATCTATAGGGGTAATTTAGAGAAAATTGATAAATATGAGAAATGGTTCTTATATTTAGGACCAAAACCAACTCAACAATTGGGTCCTATATTAAGGACCAGAGGAGTATCATATATACTCAGTGAAGTGTTCCGGGGAACTCTAGGGGACACCTGACCTGATGATTATATCCCATGAAACATCATCATCTATGTTTGTCTGTTCATGTTGTTTTCTGTTGATGGTGAAAAAATCCGAAGCAGAATACCGTATTTATATCCATGAATTAGTTAGGTTGGTCCAGAAGTTCAAGAGCCTCAATAAAGCTAAGTCCACATGTTTCTTGCGCTTTGATTTCTCCATCGGGATGTGCAGTTGAATCTGGTCGTGATTGAGGGAAAGATGATGGCAACAGAAACTATATATATATATATATATATATATATCATCATTGAAGAGGAAGCGTGGCCTTGAGCTCTCCTTTGCTTTTTTCATGGATTCCCTTCAATCCTTTTCCATCTTATCAAGACACTCTACTTTTGTTTCTTTTCATATCAGAATCATCAACCTCAAGTGCCATTTAACTGATGAGCTCCATCGTCTTTGGTTTTTTCAACAATATAAAGTTAGTCTAACTGATGCTTAAAGAATTAATCCTATATAGAGTCACAATATGTTTCAAACGCTGCAAATTGACCTAATTATATTAGTCTGCAACAATTTGCAAAGAATATAGGTCCTCTGTTGGTGACCACAGTTTGACACGTGTATACCAGAATCTGCCATTCAAAAGAATTTCTTAAAAGTATTGTTCATAAGAACTCAAGCCAAGAAAGAAAAATGTGCAGGTAGGAAAATGGACAGATCGAAAGAAAAAGCAAACTCTGAAACACTTGTAAGATTCTGAAGTTGGCCGTTGGCATTCATCAAAATTTATGCAGTCTATATAGCCGTCCAGGTTCACTTGTGCCTGGCTTTCTGCTTTATGGAGTTGCTTTTCTTCCGTACGCTCAAGCATTCGATCCTATGAACAAAACGTATTTATCTTATCAGAACTATATATAAATACCATATGTTGGTGTCTGTTTCCTTACCAACAAGTCTTGAAAACCCTAAGAAATCAGGTGAACCCTAGAGTTCCCCGCGAACACTTCACTGTGGGCTCTCACTTTTACTACACTGAAGTGTTTGGGGGAACTCTTGTTGCCACTTGATATAGTTGAAATAGAGATTGTTCAGCCCCTTCGAAACAATGATTTACCCTCAGTTTATCTTACTCGTTTGGGTAAGTACGACTTACAGTGTATTTTCGAATTCTTGCTTCTATTAATTTAATGTTTTTAACTCTGCTATATCCTAAAGTTAAAATGAGTCAGGATTTAGGTGCATGGAAAATGACTGCAATATGATGGAACACATTTCTGAAAGGAAGTTCTCCGGTAGGATTGGTCTGCTTCTGATCTCTAGTGGTTCGCTCAATGGAGGAGAGAATGGGGTATCTGATCTCGTTTGCAAAGGAAGCTCTCCCAGCTGCTGCTTGAATATATAATGGCTTTTATTTTTAGTTCCCTTTTTCACAATTTCTTGGTCCATTGAGTTTCCCCTGAGACATGCAAGCTTATGCTTAATTAATTAGCAGTGTTCTCTAGTTTCTTTTTCCTTTCTCCATTATCAAAGAGACCGAAAAGGTCAAGAACAATGCAACTCATCATGATGAGACTCACCTTTTACATGCTCTCTAAATATTCAATTTTGCTTTACTTCACATTGAGCTTATAACCGTTTAACTAGTTTAATTGATACTCACCGTGGTTCAACATATGAGATAAATTTTATCCATTTATGTTGATTAAGAAATTAGTTAAAATCAGTCTAAAACAATAAATATGTAAGACACGTATTTTTTTTTCTAACTATGTTCTTATTAATGAAGAGAATAAGTATAAATGAATTAAAGAGGAAAGAGAATATACGAGGGTAAAATTTAAAAAAAAAATCATTAAATGCTTAGACAAAAATGAATACTATCTTATTAAAAAAAAAAAACCAAGTCCCTCTAACAAAGTTTAGCTTATATTTTGAACCGGAGGGAGTATATACACACACATATGCATTCCTTTTCTTATCAAGTTTAGCTGTTTGGTAACGTTTTTCAATCAAATATTAATTATCAACTTTCCTTAGATCTAGGCAATTTAACCCACTAACATTTGTTAAGTTAGAATTCAAATTTTCAACTAATTAATAGCTGTTTGGAAGGGGTAAAAAATTAAGGAGAATTACCATGAGGTCCGAAAAAAGAAAAATAATTACTAAAAAGTCCTAATAACAATCTAAACAGCTTGTAAATAACAAGTTTCTAAGTAGAAATGACAACTTCTAGTATTTGTTTTGTAATTATTTTTCTTTATTGGGATCTCATTGTAATTCTTCCAAAAAATTAAGCACCAGGTTTCAGTTTAAAATTGTGTGAACACAGAACAGTATCTCTTGGAGAATTACTTCTAATTAGATCCAACAATACTTGAATCTGATATATCAAAAAAGAGGATGAATTTTCTTGGTCCAAAATTTGATATTATTGTGAAAGTGATGTATTTTGTTCAAATGAAATTTGTGAATTTTAGGTTAGCACCTCCTTTGAGCTTTCTCCATATTTTCTTTGCTATTTTTTCAGAGATCTTGATTCGCACGCCCAGAATTATCGCTTCTCCACGCCCACTTAGAAAAAACAGTCGATAATATACTAGTAGCTGTGACAATGAATTGAGGATCATAGAACAAATTATGAAAAAGGTGCTTTTAAATTCCGAACATAAAATGCCTACAATAATTTCTTTTCCTGTTATATACAATGATACAAATATATTTGTGGAATGCATTTACTATTATAATCCTTCGGCCTCACTCTGTAGTGTAAATTATACTATAAAATAGGTTTTATATTTAAAATCGATGGCGTATCCACTATATGATCAAAATGTGAGTTTGTTTTTATTTTTATTTAAAGAGGTTTGCAACTAGAGGAAGGACAACTCATTGATGATTATCCTTGTATATATGCATAACAAAAGACGTCAAAAATTAAAATTAATTAATTAGGATACAGTTCACAAATATTGCTTCAACTTGGCCTTACCCTACAACAAGACATTCTTAATGTGCATATCTAATTCCTTTTGGCGGCATTTCTCTTGTAATGGTGTAGATTTCACAGTTACTCGGAAACATCCCCAACTCATACATGGCACGTTTAACATTGGTAAGGAGTCGGCCTGGGATTTATCTGTGGTGTACGGCCATCCTAACCCCAGTAAGCGTAGAGATCTTTGGACTGAACTCCGTAATATTGAAGAAGGCGGTGTAGGTAGGTGGTGTGTGGGCAGTGATTTCAATGCAATATTGCACCGGAATGAGCGAAAATCTAAAGCTCATGAGGCAACCGGACCGGACCGCGGCTTTGTGAACTGGTTTAATAATAGCGACATGACAGATCTGAACTTTCAGAGTCCACAATTCACATGGAAGCGAGGACATGCCCAGAGTCGGTTAGATCGTGTTGTCGTGAACACAGACTGGTTTGAAACGTTCCCTTTAGCTCTGGTCCTTCATCTACCTAAATTAAAGTCGGATCACTGTCCATTATTAATCAGGCTACGGGATAAAGGTACTCAGAAAAAATGTGATACTAGTTTCAGATTTTTTGCGCCTTGGACAATGCATGAAGAATTTGAGGCTTTCGTTAAACAGAATTGGCGGGATGACTGTCTATGGGACACAAATATTACGAGGTTTACAGCTGAGGTTCAAGGTTGGAATAAGAAAGTCTTTGGTAATATTGAAAGGCGGAAAATGGCTTTATATGCTCAATTGGACCAACTCAACAATCTTAATCTTGATAGTCCTCTGTGGAATAAGAAGAGGTGTGAGGTTTGGCTTGAGCTTGAGAAGTGTCTCCAGCAAGAAGAGTTGATGTGGGTGCAACGTTCGAGATGTAATTGGTATCATCATGGGGATAAAAATACCAGGTATTTTCATACAGTCACTCAATGTAGGAAAAGAAGGAAGAATATTGAAGCTCTTCAAGATATGAATGGGGAATGGTGCTATGATCAAGAAAGTCTTCGTCGTGAAGGTACGAATTTTTTCCAAAAATTATATACTGTAGAGAATACTCAGGCTTCTGAAATTAATTTTGGTGGGTCTTACCCCATGATTCTTGAAGATAAAATCGATGTCTTGGGTTATATAGCATCTCAGCAGGAAATCAAGCATGCTTTATTCAGTATGGGATCTTTGAAGGCCCCGGGCCCTGATGGATTAAATCCTCTGTTTTATCAAAGTCAATGGAGTACAGTGGGTAAATCGATGACTTCTATGGTTCAATCTATTTTCACTACACCTGATCTGATAAAGAATTTTAATGGCACCAATATTGTACTTATTCCTAAAGTAGAGGTTTGACAAACTCAATTATTTTTATATATTTTGGTATCTTTTATATGAGTTTTGTCAGCTTAATTGGTCCTTTTTTGTCTTAATTGATTTATTTTGTTTTATTTTGAATTATTATTTTATAGGGGCAAAATTGTCATATTTTGGTTTAATTGTGACTAATTGATTTTTGAGGACAATTAATGCTACCTTATCCTTGAATTTTTGCTTGCAGGTTTTTGGAAGATTTTTAAAAGAAAAAAAAAGAAAAAAAATATATAATAAAAGGGGGGAGCAAAACGCTGCGTTTTGCTCCACCCCTAATATCCATTATTATCATCAGCTGGGAGAAGAAGAGCGGGGCGGCGAACAAGACAGAATGAAAACACACGAACACGCGAGAGGAAGCAAGCGGCGCTGAAGGGGCGAAGACACACGCGAACACGGAGAGCACGCCGAACACACACACGAAACAGAGCTGGCTGACGGCGCTGAGGGAGAACGAACACGGGCGGACGCTGGAACTGAACACACACACACGTGACAGCGGCTGAACCAGAACGCGACACACACAAGCTGAACGCCGAGCAAGCCTGGGACGACGTCGAAGACGAGCTGAAGCGGAAAAAAGACACAAGCGAAACAGAGACGTGAACCATTCAGCGTGAACAGTGTTCTTCCATGGGATCCTGTAGCAAAATACTGATTGCAGCGAATTTGATGGCAAACCGTGGCTAATTCCTAATTCTCTAATTCAACAATAATGGCAGGAGCTTAGATCATCAAAGGGGAGTTTCAGTTGCTTTAATTTCCTACTCAATAATTGTTTAATAATTTCTAGGTCTTAGGATAGTTTTTCTGATTATTGGGATAATTGTATTGCTTAATCTGATTATATTTGGGGATTATTGTGACTGAATTATTGCTTAGTATTTGACATTGGACTGTTTATAGTTTTGATCTCAATTATAATGTTGTGGTTATGACATTTGTATTGATTTTGGAATTAATATATTGTGATTTTCTAAGGTGGCTTAGAATTTTGGATCATATAGTCTCTTGCTAGCTTTAATTCTGTTATTTTGGATTTAAGAGTTCTAATTAAGCATTGGTTTTTAGCATCATTAATCCCATTTTACTATTCTAGTTGCAGTTAGTAAGTTGGGATTTTAGGAAAATATTTTGTGACAACTCGAGGTGACTCGGTTGTTGGATTAAAAGCTTAATTATAATTCTTAATTTATTGTTTTTAACTCCCACATCTTTTAGAGTGATGATTGCCTACATTGTTGAATTAGAGGATTGATTACCATAAGTGTTATTCGTGTGTCTCATTTTCATTTCTTTAATCTTCATTCATTTTAATTACTTTTATATAAAAACAAAAAAAAAGTATTTTAATTTCAATTTGATTCGTAGCATTTAATTAGCAGCTTTTCAAAATCAAAAATCCCTTTTATAATTTAGGTTACTTGCATTTATTTACTAGGGTTTAATTTCGTTTTCGGCTCCTCAAAGTGAAACGACCTGAGTTGTGCACTATATTGCATTAATTCGGTTAATTTTTGGAGTAACCCCAAAGCGACAATTAAGGGAAGTTCAACTTCAAGGTTCCCCAAACTTTTCGAGATCTTCGTCCAATTAGTCTGTGCAATGTCCTTTACAAAGTGGTGACTAAAGTCTTAGCAAATAGATTGAAAGAAGTAATGCCTTTAATTATTGCACCCAATCAATGTAGTTTCGTCCCAGGTCGACAAAGCTCGGATAATATTATTTTGGTACAGGAAGTTATTCACTCTATGCGTACGTCTAAGAGAAAGAAGGGATTTATGGCTTTGAAAATTGATTTGGAGAAGGCGTATGACAGGGTTAGATGGGATTTTGTGGTGAACTGCTTGACTGAGTTGGGCCTTCCTAATAAATTTATTGATATTGTTCATTGTTGTCTAACTTCAGTTGAAATGCAGATCGTATGGAATGGTTCTAAGGGAGCTACCTTCAATCCAACCAGAGGAATAAGACAAGGGGATCCCCTATCCCCGTATTTGTTTGTCATTGTTATGGAGAAATTAGGACATCTTATTCAGAGTGAGGTGGGGTCCGGAAATTGGCTTCCCTTTCGTTTGAAGCGACATGGTACAGCTATCTCCCATTTATTTTTTGCAGATGATCTCATTCTATTTGCGGAGGCTAGCTTGGACCAAGCAGGCGTTGTTAAAGCCTGTTTAGATGATTTTTGTGCGGCTTCAGGGGAGAAAGTAAATAATTTGAAATCCAGAATCTTTTTCTCAAAGGGCGTGAATCATAATTGACGAGATGAGATTAGTAAGTTCCTTGAGTTCACTCCCACGGTGGACTTGGGCAAGTATCTGGGAGTTCCGCTACATCACCACCGAGTCTCAAGGCGTACATATGAGTATGTGCTCAATAAGATGGACCAACGGCTCACTAATTGGAAGGCGAATACCCTTTCCTTGGCAGCTCGACACACGTTGGTGTCCTCGGTGGTCTCAGCAATACCAAACTACTCCATGCAATCAACGTTACTTCCTATTAATGTCTGTAACGAGATTGATAGAAAATGTCGCAGTTTCCTCTGGGGGAGTACAAGTGCGGCAAGGAAGATGCATCATGTGGCTTGGGAGGAAGTTTGTCAAAGTAAGGAACAGGGTGGCTTGGGCTTAAGACATGCCCGTAAACAAAATACTGCCTTTATGATGAAGCTGGGCTGGGGCCTTGTGAATCGGCGGGATGCTCTGTGGGTGCAATTTTTTAGAGAAAAGTATAAATGCGGCGATGATGTTATCCCTCATATCAGAAAACGCAAGTGTGCCTCACAGACTTGGAAGGGTATTACTCTAGCTTGGGATTCTACTAAGAAAGGTATTGGGTGGCGCCTAGGTAACGGTGCTCGGATTCGGTTTTGGGAAGATGCTTGGCTACCGAATCACAATCAGTTGAGCTCCTATGTGGTAAGGGATGTTTCAGAATCGATGCGTGAGGAGAAAGTTGCTGAGTATATTACTGCTTCAGGCTCTTGGGACTGGACTCGTTTTGCTTCATTCCTTCCTACCGCAGTGCTTACTGCGATTGAGCGTGTCCTACTTTCAGATATGTGGAATTTGATTGATAGCCCACGATGGAAACTTACTAATGATGGGAGTTTTACTGTTAAGTCTGCATACAATATGATTTGTAGTCAGAATGCGTATACAAATAAACGTTTATGGAGGAAGATTTGGAAATTACCAGTTCCTCAGAGGTGCAAAACCTTTCTTTGGTTATGTGGTAGAGGCAGGTTGCATACAAATAGTCTACGAGTGATGCGCGGAATAAGTAGTCATTTGAGTTGTGATCTTTGTGGAGCAGTTTGTGAGAATGCGCTGCACGCGCTGCGGGACTGTGGGATAGCCAATGCTTGTTGGGGAGTGCTGGTGCCTAATGAGTTGAGGCGCAAGTTTTTCGAGTGTGGGGACATCATAGAGTGGATTAGTTGGAATATTGGTCACAACTGCAGAAGCTTGGATGTTCCTTGGTGTGTTTGGTTTTCAATCGTAGCTCGGTAGATTTGGATGAATCGGAATGATGGTGTCCTTAATCGAAAATTAAAGGGAAGTCTCTCTATTATTGCCCAGTCGAAGGCCATTATTGCGTGTTCGAGGGTGAGCTATGGGGCTGCTACTGAAGCATGGACAATTTGCAAATGGCAGCCACCTCTTGTGGGATGCGTCAAGTACAATGTTGATGGGGCAGCCGGGAATGGGAGTTCGCTAGCAGCTTGTGGTGGTGTAGCTAGGGACCATGTAGGGAACTGGTTGGATGGTTTTATGTTTCACATTGGAAGAGGTAGTAGTTTTCACGCGGAAGTGTGGGCTGTGCTTTGGGGTCTGAAAAGAGCCTGGGATATGAATTGGAAATGGGTTGTTATTGAGACTGATTGCCGGGAGCTTGTAGATATTTTAGACACTGGTTGGCAAGAGGATCATCTAGATAAAGGCCTACTTGCTGAGATTCAAGGATGGCTTGCAAGGGAATGGGATGCAAGCATAACTTGGAGCAACCGTGGTGCCAATATGGTGGCAGATTTATTGGCTAAGAGTTCGCTTACTGCTGCTGAGGGATTGAGTGTTCTTTATTCTCCTCCAGATTTTGTTGTTAGTTATATGTTGTCTGATATAGGATAGTTTCTTTTTACTGCTGGTTGTTATCAAAAAAAAAAAAAAAGTATAACTATATGGACTTATGCTAATGTACTTGCTATATGAAACAATATATGTATGCATAATTTCACATAGTGGTTCGATATATTTAAAAAAGAATAGGTGATCTTATTGTAAAATTAATATTGAAAATCTGCTGGTCAAAAAAAAAATATTGAAAATCCTATTGATCTTCGTATCACGGAGTTTCCTATTGAATATATCTTCGGGAAGCAGTTGTCTCTTCTACTTTTTACACATTGGTTGGAAATTCTTTTGATTCAACATATTATTAAAAATCATGCAATATTAACTCCAATTCTTAAGTTTGAGTTATTTTCGGACCGTTTTAGAGGGAAAAAAATAAAAATGATTAAGTATATTGCTGATATGGACCTGTTAGGCGACTTTTCCTACAAACTTAAAAAATATACTTGCCATACATCCAAGAACTGAAAAATGAGAAGGAAACAATCAATAGAATTAAAACTCTGTAAAAAAAATCTCAATTCCTAAAAATCCCAACCATGGATGTTACAAGAGGTGATCAATCTCTAGGTAATGAGTCAACTTTGTATTCTGAATGAACACAAGTCACACAAACAATAGGATTAATTTTTAAAAAATTGATAAACATGTAAAATAAGTCATACATTTAATAAGATCAATATTAACTCTCAAATCAGGTACTGTATTGAAAACAGGAGTACTAAATAATTCTTGAATGGTATACATGCAATGAATTTAATTAAATGGGCAAAGCAAAGAAACAACGTATCAAGAAGCGTCCCTTTCATAGATGAGAAGGAATGGATCATAAAATCTCTTTCA